ACAGACACAGACACACAGACACAGACACTCCTTTCATTGGGATGAACGGCTTTTCTGCCCTGCAAGACCAGTGTGACACACAAGCTTCTTGGTTGGTGGCCGACGCTGGTCCCAGTACGACAGGGACTGATGCTCACAGGTCCAGCCTGTCTTGAAAGAGACTCATTCGTACGTTAACTAACGCACAATGTGATTTTGGTTAAGCTAAAATACAGTAGCCACTTACACCTCAAGAATCCTGTCCCCCTTCGAAATACCGGCTCTGTCGGCGGCACCTCCCGGTAGAACAGCACTGACATGCTGCAGTGGAGCGTACAGTTCCCCGTTAATGCTCCGTAGTTGCCCACCTTCACTAACTTGTCCCCGCACATTGAACCCGTAGCCCGAATCAGACTTCACTATTCGAACAAGCCGTGGGCCTGAAGTAACGGTGGTCGCCGTCTGGCAGCTGCCGCCGGTGCCCGGTGTAACGTTACCGCTACCGGAGCCGTTACGAGAGGAAGGGTGAGGCAACGGAGGGACCGATGAACAAATTCCTTCTCCCTCGACGTCCGCCATTTTTTCTACACTATTTGTATCATCCGCTCCAGTTCAGCTGGCAATAAATATCCTAACGTTACAAACATTAGCTGGTAGTAGCAGGCTAATCAGCTTGGCTAGCTAACTGACCGAGATCTCCGGAAAAAGCCGACAGTGTCCGATGATCCGCGAGACCGCCCAGGATGCGTTCCATGTGGGTCACTTCACTAGGCATTGACTGTATAGGTACTAAGTCGCATATTTGTATACAGGGAAAGTCCGCCAGTGTTATTTCCAGGTTGAATTGTAATAAACAATTGAAACCCAATGGTTCCCAACATGTGGATCGCCGTTTCTCGAGGGGTCCCAAGAAAGGTCTCAGGGGTCTACAGGAATAATGGATAGGAAAGAAAATGTGTAGTCCTATTTCCTATTACGTTTTTTGTTGTTGTAAAATATATTGGATAGCTTAACCTATTTATTAATTTAAACATGGAACAATCTTAAAAAGGTCTGCTCACAAACAAGACCCCAAGCTGTGTTCATGGGTCATGAGTAGACTTCGCTGGGTCACATGCTGAAAAGAGTGGGGACAACTGCAACCATTTTAAATTGCCAAGGGTTAAGGACTGGATCGATGACAAAGTAATAGTTAAAAGTCCGTTTTCAAACATAAATTGCAAAACTTATTTATGTGCAGCTTCTCATTTAGTAATTTGCTGCCTTTTATTGTTGTGTTATGTGATGGTAAACTAAATATATTTGTGTTATGCATTGTTGTTTAGATAAAACAAGCAATGAAATTATTTATATTAATTGTTACAAGCCGTGTAGAGGGCCCTTGTGTCAAAGTCTAGTTTTGCATATTCCTATAAGCTGTATTTACTGTAATTTTATTTATTTGACCCAGTTGAATCCAGTTTGGCTATATTCTAAAACAAGAGTTGGTTGGAACTGGTGGATTTTTTGGACGTCTGGGAAAATAATGAAACGGAAATGAGCAGTCTGCTTCGTGGAAGTGAGAAGGTTCAAATCGAGCAGAGGGAAGGAGGTGTGAAGTCATGAGGGGCTGCTGCTTTGTTTTTCTTCAGCAGTGAGGTGACAGCTGGCTTGTCACGTTTTCTACAGGCTAAATAAATGCATAAAGTGTGAATTCATCCTTTAAAAAGTGTTTAAAGATGCACAATATTTGTATTTTGTTTGTTTATCTATTTTTTTATTTTCACAAATAATTTTCTTAATTCTTCATTAGTCACTTCTAAAATTCAAAATGAGTGATAAACACTCAAAGCCAGCAATTTCAACACATAAGTCACATAAACTCATCTATGATTAATCTGCATGTGTTTAACCAAAATTCGGGGCACTTTTTTTTATTCAGTACAAATGAAATAAGGCAAGAAAGTTCAGAGGCACTGTGGCAAAAGTATTTATTTAATACTCAGTGTAAAGCTCAGCGAGGGTTGCTAGCAAAGTAACAAACTCAGTGAAATCAACAACACCATCCCCGTTGCTATCCAGCTCACTGAAGAAATTGTCCAGTGCATCTTCGTCTCTGTGCTAAAAAAAGAATTAAACAGTATGAGTTGTAAGTAGATTGTAAAACATCAAATAGACAAAGAGGCAGCTCACTCTGGTAATAGTGTTGTAGTTTTTGTACTTACTCCTGTTCCAGGAAACTCCTTTCGGAACAGTTTAGTGAGTTCTGACTTGGTCAAAGTGTCTTTGTTTCCATCTTTTCCAGCGTACTTCTCAAAGGTATCCCGAAGGAGAACCAAAAAAAAAAAAAACGCACTGCTTTCTATCTTGCAGCTGAAGGTGTTTAGCTTATTTGCAGATAAAGCTTTTAAACCAAAATAAATTTGCAGTGCATGGATTAAAGTGATATACATGGAGAAGTAGAACAAGTTTAATCACATCAGCACGAATTATGTTAAGTATTGGCTTTTGCTTAGCTAGCCGCGGTATTATGGAACCCATAAAGGTGCTGAGAGCTAATAATTAAGTAAACCCACGGACTAACACCCAAAACAAACGACACACAGCACGAACCCCGCAACAACAATCACGAACAGAACCAACAACAAAACAACTACCACAAAAAGACGAAAGATTTTTTTGGATGCTGCATCCAATTATACCCCAGCAATATGCTGTGCACTATTCATCACATACATAATCTTAAACCCTGGTCTGAAGGAAAATCTAGTTTCATTGCTTGAACTAGCATCCAAAATCAGTTACATGTTATCCTGAAATAAAGACTGTTCATATTAGACAGTAATTCTAAAGTTAGCATATCGGCTTTTTAAATAGAACCTCAGTATTAACAATCTCCATACACATAGGAAGTTGCATCTATCTTTAAACTTGTTCGGCTTCTGGGCATTTGGGACACTCATGAAGGCAATGCTCTCGAGAAAGGAAGTGACAGGAATCAATCAAGGATCCAGAGAGTTAAAGGATGGAATCTGAGAGATAAGAATTAAGGTGTTCCACACTAACAGGATCAGACCGCCACACTAGAGTTTACCTCGGTATTTTTCCTTCAGAAGCAATATCGAGGCTCTCTTTGGATAGAAAAACCCTTTGTAGTTATTAGTTTTGGACATCTACTCGCATCAAATACAAGATCGATACCTCAAGTGATAATCATACTCACAGGCTAAAGCTTGATGCACTCGAAAGAAGTCCATCATTCATATTCTCAACGGAAAATTCTTCGTCCACTAATAACATTCGTTTCTGACTCGACCTTTGGATATTCAATAGGAACCATAACTATTGACATTCAGTCTTCCAACGACCAAAGGACTAATAAAATGACATGTCGAAACATCTAAACACACAGAAGCATTTGGAGTTAGGCTGACTACTAACAGCAAATCATCATGTGGATAGACACGTCAGTCCCATACCATTGGCTGTCAACCACAGCACTCACACAACCACACCCAAAGAAACCACCTCACTGCACCTGATACAAATATTGTTTTTCATTGGATGGAATAAACCTGCTAATGGTTTGCAGAATGAATCCCTATCTACCTATACTTCAAAACTTTGGAATCGAACAGTGCTGCTAGCACCTTTACGACACATAGTGGGTCAAGCTTGCACGAATTGCAAATAAGCCAACACTTCCACTGGGTGTCAGATACCTTAGACAAACGTAGGACAACTGAGAACAGGCTGTAAAGACTCATGTAAGGGGTAACAATTTCAAACTATTTGCGTGATTTAACAAAAAAGGCGGAACGGCCCTAAATTTACAGTCAGTGTTGTCTAGTACATTTCAGACTACTGGCCAGAAACTATGGATGTTGTTCAATGTTGGCGACCATTAAAAGGCAACCACAGATCTGACTAGATTAAATGATTCCTTCCTGACGGTAATTGAACACACCAATATACATTATCAAGTGTATTATACACAATAGACAACAGCTGAACTCAAGTGTACTTCTGTTTTGCTTGATAGATTTCTCCGTACAATGATTACACAGTAGGAACCTTTTAATCAAGTTAGTTGTAGCCACTTATTTTATGGAACACATTGTGATTAAATGAAGACTGTTTGCCATCTCCCTCAGTAGATATACTATCGCTTTCTATTGTCGCTCACATTATTCCACTGTTGCACAATAATTATGAATGTATCATACTAAGAAGGATGGTGCCAGAAATGCAATGAAACATGTTATTTGTTGGAACACTCGCTCTCATGGCCTAAAAGGCCTGAAAGAAGGGATTTTAAAGGCATTTCTGCTAAGATGCTACAGTGGAAAATGCCTGAACTTTGCAATTAAAATCTGTTACTAGGGATTTATGAATAACACCAAAACAGTATGATATAAAATGCAGCAACCATTCATTGTTGTTTCTTTATTAGTCACTTCTGAGCATTCACTAATTAGTTAATAAAATTCATGCCAGCACATTTCAAGGTCATCAGACGAAATATCATCGCTAGTTATTGTGTGTGTTTTCCCAGTTTTTTTTCGCTTCTGAGACATCTGATTACTGACATGTATATTTTAAGACTTGCGCTGTACTGGGTGGATGTTGGGGTCACTAGGGCCCTTGCGGGACACAGATAATGCTACATATTAGGTATTCATTATTGCAAATGTAAAATGCTGTATTTTAAAAAGGATTTACGAACAAATTTCCACTTACCGAATATGGATAAAAACGTCCAATGTTGAGAGAGTGGAAGAGAGGATTTTAATGAAGAGAGCATTGACACAAAGCTTTTTAAATAGAGGTTGACACACCTTATTTAAAAGCCCCCACCCCTCTTTCTGTCTTTTTTCTTATTTCTGTCTTTATTCCCTCCAGTAAAACGTAAATGTCACAATAACATGTTGACTTTCCTGCTTTCCCTCCTATTTAAGCTCATTTTCATATCTAGCAGTTTGAGAAAAACTACAAGTAAATAGTTGCACGCCTGCATGTAAATATACTTATAAGGATGGTCATGCAAACAGATGACATGAAATGTGAGTGGAAGGCCGATCAGTAACTCTGACAGGCATACCACAGATAATGACACATAATGCATTAATATTATTAACATTAATATATTGCAGCATATACACAGCTCAGTCGGACCATATTGTCTTAAGAACTATACCTGACTACAATTCACGATACTGGAATTGTTATTATTTTGGGTGGGAGCTTTTTACACCACTGCTGCTTGTTATCTTGCAGATGTAGGTTTCTAGCTTGATTTTTTGCAGATGAAAGCTTTTAAACCCGGAGAAATACATTTTGGCAGTGCATGGAGATTAAAGTGGCAATATACATAGCAAGATAGCAAACAATTTCGAGTGCAGGGCATCACATCACATTGTTTAAGTCGTTCTTTGTTTGATTGTTAAAGTGGTGCCTGACTAAAGTTAAGTAACAAGATTGCATGCTGCCATCCATTTACAAAGCTAATAAGTGCTGTGTTTTTACTAATCTTGAAGCCCTGGGTCTTGAATTTTTGAAAATCTAGCTGTTTTGCGTTGAATAGTTAATTACGAGTGTTCCTGAATAAGCTGCTTTAACAGTAAATGTGCGGGATTTATATCGGGCTATTTTCACAATATTCCAGCTGTATTATTCCAGGAAGTAGGAATTTTGATTGTTAACGTTGTTGGCTTTTCTGGCATTTTGGGCGAATTAATGGAAGCTGCC